ACTGGATGGGCCATGATCTTAGTTTTCTTGTTGAGCTTTAAGCCAACTTTTTCACTGTCCTCTTTCACTTTCATCAAGATGCTCTTTAGCACTTCTTCACTTTCTGCCATAAGGGTGGTGTCATCTGCATATCTGAGGTTATTCATATTGATTAATACTGATATGATAAATATTGGTAAATGGCTCATAGCACATTTCTAAAGAGAGAGATATCCAGGGAGGTGAAAAGTTGCAGTTTCTGCCTTTAACACAGAACTTTGTGCTTATTGAATTGTTGAACATTCATATCACTATTTTTTTACAAATATAGTTATACAGCCAATGACCCATATGTATATCTCTGTTTTCTACACTGGACATATACTCAAATCTACCATTTGATTGTTATGTCATATTTGTACTTAAGTATTTCAGTGGCAGGGGCTTTTCTGATGTCTCAGAAGATAAAGAATCCACCTGTAATGCAGGAGACATGGGTTTGATCCCTGGGTCTGGAAGATCTCCTGGAGGAGGAAATGGCATGTCACTCCAGTATTCTCGCCTAGAGAATTCCATGGATAGAGGGGCCTGGCGGGCTCCATGGGGCCGCAAAGAGTCCAACACGACTGAGCAACTAGGTGCACACACACATTTCAGGGGCAGGGATGATGGGATCAAGACACAGGAGTGTGACTGCAGTATTAGTCCACTGACGGGGTTCCCAGGGACACAGTGGTGAAGAATATGCCTGTCAGTGCAGGGGACACAAGAGACACAGGTTCAGCCCCTCGGTGGGGAAGATCCCCTGGAGAAGGAAATGGCAACCCACTCCAGTATCCTCACCAGGAGAGGTCCATGAACAGACGAGCCTGGCAGGATATAGTTCATGGTGCCACAAGAGTCGGACACAACTGAGTGACTGAGTACACAAACACACATTAGCCTACTACACATAGTCATTGATAACAATGCAGTTGTATGATGATACCTTTTAATCAGTCTGGTGGCTATATGAGACGGAAGTGAAGTAAGAAGGGGAGTATAGTGATGAGGATTGAAGCAGACAGACTAGAACACACCAAAGTCTTTAGTGCAGACTTCTTATTTTTCAAAATCTCAAGATAGAGGAATTATTATACATTCTTGTGTATTTTTTTATTTTAGTTATTGATTCCTAAAGTAATTTCCCCATAATTTGTTATTCAACCATGCAAACTCTCAGAAAGGCAGAAACAGTCAATAGATTCCATTGTTGGCCTTCCATTTAATGGGCTTTTTTTTTTCATTTTTATACCACGAAGTAGATCTAATAAAATGGGCCCATTTTAGATGAAACTAATCTTTAGATATTATAATAAATTTACATCATATTGGTGAAAGTCGGTTTTTCATAGCAATCTATTGACACTCTATTTTGCTTGGAATTTAATGTACTTCAATGTTTTTCTTCCATATTTTTGCTCATAAGCAGCAATTCCAAAAGTTTGCATGAATCAATGAAATACATTAGAGATAGACCTTTGAAGCTTTTATCTGAAACAAGAATTTTCTGTAGGTTTTTATTCACCATGTGATCTTTGCCTAAAATGCCATAATGTCGAACAAAGGCCTCCCTGAGTAACAGAGGCATTTTTTAGACTTTACTTATATCTAGAATGTTTTCATATAAGAAAATTTTAAAAGGCAATTTGAAAACCTAAAACATCAGTGGCTTTTAGCTTTATAATTTTAATAGATAATTAAGAATGTCTTTCAGTCTTGTAAGGTTGTTCAAATATATGACCACATCCACACTTTCTCAACAAGAAGATTTAGCTCTAGCCTTCAAGAAACAAAAACAAAAAGGTCAACATTCAGAAAACTAAGATCATGGCATCCAGTCCCATTACTTCTGGCAAATAGATGGGGAAACAGTGGAAACAGTGAATGAGTATACTTTTTGGGGCTCCAAAATCACTGCAGATGGTGATTGCAGCCATGAAATTAAAAGACGCTTACTCCTTGGAAGGAAAGTTATGACCAACCTAGATAGCATATTAAAAAGTAGAGACATTACTTTACCAGCAAAGATCTGTCTAGTCAAGGCTATGGTTTCTCCAGTGGTCATGTATGGATGTAAGAGTTGGACTATAAAGAAAGCTGAGTGCTGAAGAATTGATGCTTCTGAACTGTGGTGTTGGAGAACACTCTTGAGAGTCCCTTGGACTGCAAGGAGATCCACACAGTCCATCCTAAAGGAGATCAGTCCTGGGTGTTCATTGGAAGGACTGATGCTGAAGCTGAAACTCCAATACTTTGGCCACCTGATATGAAGAGCTGACTCATTTGAAAAGACCGTGATGCTGGGAAACATTGAAGGCAGGAGGAGAAGGGGATGACAGAGGATGAGATGGTTGGATGGCATCACCGACTCAATGGACATGGGTTCTGGTGGACTCCGGGAGTTTGTGATGGACAGGGAGGCCTGGCGTGCTGCGGTTCATGGAGTCGCAGAGAGTCAGACATGACTGAGCGACTGAACTGAACTGAAATATTAAAAAAAAAAAACAAAAAAAAACCTGAGTCGATGGCATCCAACCCCATTATTGCAAGGTGAATAGAAGGGGAAAATGTGGAAGCAGTGACAGATTTCCTCTTCTTGGGCTCCAAATCACTGTGGATGGTGACTGCAGCCATGATAGCATAAGACAACTGCATCTTGGCAGGAAAGCATTGACAAAACTAGACAGTGTATAGAAAAGCAGAGATATTACCCTGCCAACAAAGGTCCATATAGTCAAGGATATGATCTTCCCAGTGGTCTCATGTGGTTGTGGGAGCTGGACTGTAAAGCAGGCAGAGTGACAAAGAATTGAAGCCCTGGAACGGTGGTGCTGGAGAAGACTCCTGAATGTCCCTTGGACAGCAAGGATACCAAACCTGCCAATCTTAAGTGAGATCAACCCTGAATATTCACTGTGGAAGCACTGATGCTGAAGCTGAAGCTCCAATATTTTGGCCATCTGATGCGAACAGATGACTCATTGGAAAAGTCCCTGATGTTGGAGAAAATTGAGAGCAGAAGGAAAAGAGGGCATCAGAGGATGAGATGGCTGGATGGCATCACTGATGCCATGAATGTGAACTTGTGCAAACTCTGGGAGATGGTGAAGGACAGGGAGGCCTGGTGTGCTACAGACCATGGGGTTGCAAAGAGTCGGACACAACTGAGCGACTGAACAACAACAATAATGACAGCATGATGATGCACAATACTAATGTCCTGTCCTTTGGTCTTTATAACGATACTAATGTCCTGTCCATTGATCCTTATAGCCTTCTTTCCCTCCTTTTATCCAAGCTTTATTCAGTTAAAATTGACAAATAGTACATATAAGGTATTGAAAATGAAGCTCTGATATATTGTGACATGGTCACTATGGTATGGTTAGTAAATGATTCATTAATTTATACAGTTGACATTTTGAATGTGTGTATAATGAGGACCATTAAGATCTACTCTCCTGGCTAATTTCAAGTTTATAACATAGAATTAGTACCTAGAGTTGTCATATACATTGGATCTCCAGAATTTATTCACTGAATAATAGTAAGTTTGGTCATTATTACTGATATTGGCCACCTCTGAGACCCTGGAAAAAGCGACCAATCTACTCTCTAATTCTATGAGCTTGAACTTTTAAGATTCAACATATATGTGAAACTCTACAGTATTTACCTTTATCTGTCTGCCTATTTTAGTCAGCATAATGCATTTATGGTTCTTCCATGTGTGGTAAACAAAGCTTCTTGAATTCTAAAAGACACAGTCTTGTCCCTCTCAAGACCCATCTAATTGTCAGATCCTCTGCCCACTATCATTTTCTCTCTCAAGTAGAATAATTATTAGATCTAAGACTGAATATATCGATCAAAAGATACACTAGTTTTAGATTTCATCTTGGATTTAAAATCCTCATTTTTTTCTTTCATAATGATTTTAAGGTTTCTTATAAGTTATATAGCTATTTAATCAATGAATGATTTTTATTAGCATTAGCTTATATTCATTAGTATAGAAAGTACAGTGTATGCCATAGAACATAAAGAGACTCAAAGATTTCTGAGGAAGTACAATAATTCTTAAGGTAGCGGAAATATTATTCAAACAAAAAAATGTCAGCAAAATTTGACAAAAGTAGAAAATTCTGGAAAGTTTTCACCAAAGGGAAAGTGCCATATGCAAATTCTTGATAATGAAGTATGCAATATTTCAGAACTAAAATATTTCTAAAACTTAGACTTAATAACAACAAATTCTCATTTGAACTATTTAAGACAACTTTGTTTCTCTTGCATCACGCAGTATAAGTTTATAAAAACAAAAACCACAATATGTGTGTACTTGTGACTGTAAGAGTGTGTGAAATATAAACCTTTAAAATCATATTTAAAGTTTCAGTTTTTCCAGGGCCTGTTTCACATCCTTGTTCCTTAGGCTGTAAATCAGAGGGTTTAATGTGGGAATCACGAGGGTAAAACAACGAGGACATTTTGTCTTCATCTAGAGAGTAGGATGAACTCGGCCTGAAATACATGAAAAATACAGTTCCCTGGAAAATTGCCACAGCAGTTAGGTGGGAGGCGCAGGTGGAGAAAGCTTTGAACCTCCCTTCAGCAGAGTGGATCTTCAAGACTGATAGGATTATATAACAATAAGAGACAAGGACTCCTGAAATGGAGGTCAGTTCAACACAGCCAAAAAAAAATGAATAATGCCAATTCATTGACCCGTGTATCAGAGCAGGAAAGGGAGAGAAGTGGAGGTAAGTCACAAAAAAAGTGGTTAATCACATTTGATCCACAGAAACATAAGCGGAATGCTAATGCCGTGTGTATCAAAGTATCCGCCATTCCCAACAGGTAAACCTTCGCCATGAGCAGGGAGCACAGCCTGCTGGACATACTGACCGCATAGAGCAAGGGGCTGCTGATGGCCTTGTACCGGTCATAGGCCATCACTGCCAGCAGGAGACACTCACAATCTATAAAGCTAGAGAAGACCAAAAATTGCAGAGCACAACCATAGAAGGAGATTGATCTCTTGTTGGCTAAAAGGTCCAACAGCATCTTGGGACCAATAGCTGTGGAATAGCAGAGGTCACAGAAGGAGAGGTGGCTGAGGAAAAAGTACATGGGTGTGTGAAGCTGGGGATCCATCCTAATTAAAATAATCATTCCGAGATTTGACAAAAGGTTAATGAGATAAATAATAAAAAACATGATAAATAAGATCATCTTAACTTCAGGCTTATCCGTAATTCCCCACAATATGAACTCAGTTAAAGATGAGCAATTTCCTCTTTTCATTCTTTTGTCTTCTTGTCTAAACTTTTGAGGAAATGATCAAGAAAATGATACATGTAAGGGAACCACTTCGGGGCATTCACAAAATATCTGCAGGGAAGAACACAATTTATTCTGCAATGGTCTTTTTAAAATATTTTCAGCCTGGTGTTTCTAACATCAGTGTTTTTTGCACACTATTTTGAAGATGTGATGAGATATCAGTTCATCCAAATATCCTTCTTGATACAAGGAAGGTAGCGCTCAGAGAAACTGAAGAGCTCATGACAGCAACCTGTCAATTCTGAAGGAAATCGGCCCTGCTTATTCATTGCAAGGACCGACTGATGCTGAGGCTGAAGCTCCAATCCTTTGGCACCTGTTGCAAAGAACCAACTCATTAGAAAAGATCTTATTGCTGGGAAGGATTGAAGGCAAAAGAAGAGGCAGCAGAAGATGCGATGGTTAGATAACATCACCAACTCAACTGACATAGATATGAACAAACTCTAAGAGACAGTGAAGGACAAGGAAGCCTAGAGTGCTGCAGTCCATGGGGTCACAAAGAGTCAGATATGCCTTAGTGACTGAACAACAACATAGACAGTAACACACCTCAGAAATTACATCTGGATTTACACAGGAGTTTCTCAACTGCCCAGCTCAGATATTTTTATTATTATCAGATTGATAGCAATACCTCTTTAAAGAATGCCCGTTGATCAAGTCATTTTCTGAGTGTGTGCCCGCATGCGTGCCCTGACGCTAAACTGGTTGACTCCTTGCGTCCTCATGGACTGCAGCCCTCCAGGCTCCCTGTCCACGGGATTTTCCAGGCAAGATTCTCATCCCATGGAGAAGAAGCCTGGTGAGCTGCAGTTCATGAGGTTGCAATGAGTGAGACAGGACTTAGCGACAGAGCATACACTTAGAAAATGACTAAGTCAGTGGGCATTCTTTAAGGAGGTATTGCTATCTACCTGATAATAATAAAAAAATATCCGAGATAGATAGTTGAGAAACTTCTAGATGTTGTTCCTAACTTAACTACTGCCATAAGCTCTTTAATTTCTCTGAGCACTGTTTTCTTTGTATTGAGAAGGATATTTAGATGAATTGACATCTCGTTACATTGCCAAGGCAGTGTGGAAAAAAACACTGATGCTAGAGACAGCAGGCTGAAAGCCTATGGATAACCATTTACTATGCTGGAAAAGTTCCTTGGATACAAACATTTATTTTCATCATCATATTGCACATAAAACATAATTTAAAATATTATTAGTTTTACAATCTATTAGTACATCATACACTGATAACAATGAAAATAATTGTTGTTGATCCTAGTCTTTAGTATTTAGTGAGACATGAAATAAGTAACATTGAAACCTTTCTCTAAAAATCCATCAGTGCTTTGCCACATGACTTATTATCTATTTATAGAGTTTCTGCTGCCAAAGGAGGAGTCTCTTGAACAAAGAAAAATGCTAAAATGAAGTGAAAACCACAGAATCTAACACCTACTATTGCATCTCTTTGGATTTTAATGGACTTTTATATTATAAAAGTGGAAATAGGTTTAGGGACAATAAATGCCTCTGTGATACATAGGTTTCTCTGTCTAGTATGTATGTATTATGTGTCCGTCATACATTTGCATGCAGATTACATGTCTCCAATGTATATGAGAACAGTGCGTGTGTAAGGAATTCTTTCTTTTGACCTTAGTATCTATGGGGCTTCACATGAAGAAGAATGTGCACATTTTAATTTTTAAATTCACTCATACATTATATTTTAAATAAAAGAGAACAAATCCACCAAACCCCCTTTAAATTCACCTATATGCTCCTCTGATTATAAAAGGAGTAATATCTTTCATATAAACCAGAATCAAAAGAAATTAATTTAATAGTTATATTATGGATATTAACAAGCACAGAATCTTCCAGCTCTGAGAAGAAAATATTGTTCCTGAACATTAAATTACAGAATGTATTCAACTGAGTAAACAGGTATAAAATGTTTTATTTATAAATTGATTTTCCCCCAAATGGGAATGTTTTTGTCCTATGTTCTTTAAATCAGGACCTCAAAGCTTACCTGAGATGAGCTGGTCTTAGGTAGCTGAACAGTAAGCAGATAGCATTTTATTGTACCAGGTACTTTGGGACTTAAATCCCTGGGCCACTGCCTTTGGGTATTGGTGTTGTACAAACATGTCATTAATTATGTTTCTGCTTCTGCATATTGCCTCATGAATTCAGGGACAAATTTAACACAGGATGACCTTGTATACATCAATGTTGTTACTAAATTAATCTAGCATAAGGGGGGCTTCCCTCATAGCTCAGTTGGTAAAGAATCTGCCTGCAATGCAGGAGACCGGGGTTTGATTCCTGGGTCGGGAAGATCCCTGGAGAAGGAAATGGCAACCCACTCCAGTACTCCTGCCTGGAAAATCCCATGGACAGAGGAGCCTGGCAAGCTATAGTCCATAGGCTCCCAAGGGTCGTATGAGACTTAGTGACTAAACAGCCACCACCAAGGATGAAGCAGTGTGAGCTAATATAGAGAGAAATGTTTCCATAATATATGAAGAAAATATTTAAAAAATTTAAAAACCTTCTATATATGACAAAGAACCTGTATTCAAAATATATGAACTTTTATCAATAGTAAAAAAATAAAAAACAAAAACAAAAAGTGAGCAAGAAAAAAATTGAACAAATACTCTCAAAAAGATGACAAATAAGCAAGAAGTTAATGCTTAAGAATTTCATTCTTATGTAAATCAGTAGATATGAAGGCAATGGCAATAAAGCCACAATAAGATAACATGACCTAAATGTTAATGGACTGAAATTAAATACTGATCATAACTAATTTTCTGTTTCATCTGAATTCTCATTTGCAAAATACACAGGATTTCTTATCGGTTTGGATGTTTCCTCAGTTCTTTTCAATTTTTTGTTTGTTTGTTTTTCTACTTTTTTCCTTATAAATCTGAGAAATTATTTATGCTAAAAGTCATAAATGTAGTACATATATAATTTTGTAAAAGTGATTCTTAATGTCAATTTTTTAAAATGCCTTTGTATATGCCATTGTCATTCTTGCCTATGAGGAGCTCAACACTAAAATGTCACCTGTAACCTGTGGAGATATCGTTGAGGCAAATCTCAAACCACAATATAATTGCCAATAATTTTCCACTAAAATTAAGAAAGGCTCCCAGGTGGCTCAATGGTAAAGAATCCAACTACCAATGCAGGAGACTCAGGAGACACATGTTCGATCCCTCGGTCAGGAAGACCCCCAGAGGAGGAAATGGCACCCCACTCCAGTGTTCTTGCCTGGAAAAGTCCATGGACAGAGGAGCCTGGCAGCCTGCAATCCAGGGGTTGCAAAGAGTTGGACATGACTGAGCACACACACACACACATACACACACAGAATCAAGAAACTGATTATGTTTCAAAAGCGGTTTTTCTTTATCATTATTTACTTCTCTGTTACACATATAGTGTATGTATAATTGTTCTCAATCCCCTAATTCTACTCCTATCCAAATTAATTTTCCCCTCAGGTACATCCCTATCTGCAGGGATGCAAAAATCCCTTGGGTTACATTTTTTTCAGCCAGAAGCAAGTGTTAATTTTTTAACAGGCCTGCTCCTCAAAAGCATGTGGACTAACATCCTCTCTATCTTCCCCCACACAGCAATTTAAACCTGAGTTTGGGTAGCTACATTATTAATTGCAAGGTGGGTAACCTAAAATAGCTCCCAATGGGATTGGTGCTTCATTAAAAATGGAGATTTTAAGTAATCAAAAAGCTTCTTAAGGAGAAAATGTATGCTTCAGATACAAATGAGGGGAAAAAAGGTCATTATTTAGGTTTTTCCTGGTGCCTCTGCTGACATGAAAGCAATTTTATGTCAGCAAACACCACCCAAAGATGCCCCTTTTCGGAATATAATGGTCAGCTCCTCCAACCTTGGGTGGAATGACACAGAGCTCATCGCACGGACCAGTACAAGGTCCAGGAACGCTCCCCGCTGTGAGAGAGTGACCAGGAGGGCCAGGGCGAGGACGCACGCAGCGCCGTTCTGCAAGCAAGGCCGCGCTCTCGGTGATACGGGGATCGATGATGTCCTGAGATACTCTGGCAATTACGCTCTACCTCAGGTTCACTGTTGTAGCCACACGGTCCGGGAAACAAACTCACCCAGAAGGACCATGCAGATCGTGGGGCGCAGGTTATGACACCGGCAGGCCCAAGGCAGAGTCTGCTCTTAGCCAAGGACCCCGACCAGCGCTTGTGAAAATCTTTTCTACCCCATGTGTACGTGTCCGAGCCCACCAGCCCAAATTCCTTGAGACTTACATAAACTAAGGAAGGGTAAATACAATCCCAATAACCCCGTCATTCATGCGCCATGTGCTCAGACAGTTAAACAATTAGCCAATAATCAATAAGCCCGAGGTCACACTCCGACAGGTACAGAATAATTCATGGCCTGTCTGGAGGAAGGAGTGATTAGTGTATGTGCTCTCTTAGGCGAGGAGTAACCTGGATATGATCTTCAAGGTTCCCCTGTCCGGGGCGGGCGGTTCTTATCCTTCTGTCGTCGTTTCCATAGACATTAAACTCAGAGTTCAGAGTCCACTGGAGAGGTGGCTGAGCGAGATCAGCATGGACAGGCCTAAGATGGAGTCCAGGCCCTATGAATTCCTTCTTCATCATAAATCTATATGAACAATCATTTCATATAAGAAAATTTTAGACTTAAAAATAAATATACATTTTTTTTTACAATCTCATAGAGAAAAAAAATAAAGAGGGTGATTTTAAAGTATAATACACATACA